TATCCATGCTTGTGTGTGCATGTACATTATTTTAGGGTGATTGTTTCAGAGGGAAGATGTAGTGGCATCTGCCAACCGTGGCTGTGCAAATGCAAAAGTAATAGAGAAAGAGAAACTTCCTAGTGTGTTTGAAAAGGGGGAAGGAAGGGCCATGTGACTGGAGCAGTGTAAGCACAAGGGAGTGCGGTGGGAAATAGTCAGAAAAACAGTAGCGGCTAGGTCAAATAGGGCAAGGTAATGTGTTTTAAGAAGAACCCCAGTAGATGCTTATGTAAGCTTTGTACACATTTGAGAACCACAGGTAGATGGAGATGGAGAAGAGAAGAGAAACCCCATGTAAGAGTTATACTTGAAAAGCATTTTTGGAAAATCTAAAACATACAGAAGTGTAAAGTACGACCACAACCCCCTATGTACCCTTCTCATAACTTCAACACCACCAGCTGTATCTTACAAAGGAAACGGAAAACAGTATCCAGGAATGTGAGCAGAAAACTCAAGAAGAACCACGTGAATGAAGCATGTCAAAGAGAGAGTTTGGTCAACAGGGACAACTAAGGCAAAAGGTTCTGAAGGTTGAGCAGAGGTCTGGCAGCCCATGGGCTCCTCACAAAGGTGCCAGCTAAGATGTGGTTACCACCTAACAGCTCCCTCAACCTCCTTTGATTTCCTCTGTCAAAGTGGTCTTCAAGGGCTCCTGCCTGGCATGAGTTTGTTCACGGAGTCTGGGCAGTGGTGCTGGGAGGCTGGAGTAAGGGAACAAAAGTAATGTGAGTGAGGACGAAAAGCCACCAAGTGTGTTCTTAGCTGGTCACCTCTGGGGCAGCTGGGACTCCACCTGGCTGAGCCCCTGAGGAACCAAGTGGGATGCATCTCGATGTTCTGCAGAACAGGAGGCAAGGGTGCTCACTCAGTGCTTACTCAGTGGTCTCTTGTGCTCTGTTTCTTGATGGTTGTGCTGGGACATTAACCTCCCTGGGTTTCTGGGCTGCCCTGCACCCTGGCTGAGTGAGTGGCTGAGGCTTCACCTAAGGTGAGGAGCCAGCAACGTGGTGGCCATTAAAATGGACTCTGTCACTGTGGGGACTTTCTGCTACAGCTGCAGGTGGATCTAAGTTGGCAGAGGATGTGGAGCACAGGACACCTAGAGTTTTCTGTTGCATGCCAGAATTTAAAGTCCTTATCCTGATGCTAGTATCCTTCTGTTACCAGGCCAGAAACAAGGGGTTCATTCTAAATGCTTCTTTAACCACTCTCCCTTGTTTGTTTCTGCAGCCACCACTTAGGGCAGGTGGTCACACCCTGAGGACCCTGGGGACGGCCTCCTTATCTTTTATTAAGTACCAGGAATACCAAACAAATGCTTTGTATGACAAGTTCCAGATGCTGAGGGGTCCACAGAAGGACACTTAACTTTGTACTGGGAGCTGACATGCAAGCTGAACTCAGAGGATTGAGTAGGAATTAGCTAGACAAAGAGGTACAGTAATAGGGGTTCAGTCAGAGGGAAAAGCACATGTGAAAGTTCAGCAAGGTCACAGCACATTTCTGCTATCTCAAGTATGAGGGAGAGAAGAGATATGGGAGATAAATAGTGGCCAACTCACGTGGGATCATGCAGTCCTTATTAGCAAGAATTGCCTTTATTTTTTGTTTTTTTTGGTACTGGGGATCAAACTCTGGACCTTGCGATTGCAAGGCAGGCGCCAGAACCACTGAGCTAAATTCCCAGCCCACTTTATTTTAAAAGAAATGGGAAGCCAAAAGTTTTAACTGTTTTGTGTGTGTGATGCAGAACCCAGGGCTTCCCCTCTAGCCCCTTTTAAAATTTTAAGATAGGGTCTCACTAAATCACTGAGTTGCCCAGGCTGCACTCAAACTTGGGATTCTCCTATCTGAGCCTCCCAGAGTGCTGGGATCATAGGTGTGTGCCACCACACTGGCAGCTGGAAGAATTTAAAACAGGACAGGAATGGGTTGGAATCTGAGCTTTAGCAGGATTACTTTGGCTGAGGTATGGGAAAAATTAGTAGATCACACTAATTTTTAGCTAGTTGACTACAAACAAACGCTTGTTGGTTGCCTACATAGGGTCTATTCTCTGCCTCCTGCTATATAGTACATGGTTCTCCTTTAGAGGATTTCACATACTGAGCAATAGAATTTGGGTGTGATGGACTCTTAGCCCCAACCATCTCTAAGCTAATTAGCATAGTGGCCACAGTGGCTAAGTCAGGGACAGCCATGTGACCCTTTTCAACTTAGTGAGAAAATGAGTCCCAGCTACTAGTAGGAGGATGTAAGGTCTGCATTGCTGTAGCCACTTTGTCATGGGGAAGTCTGAGCCTGGAGCTGCAGGAAACATGTGATGAAACCACCAGACAGAGAGAAAAGGGAAACTGAGTTCTTGGTGAAATGTATGACCTCTGGAACAAGCCTTGCTCAAGGCCACCTTTCCCCTTCACTGCACACTAATGTGAACCAGTGAATATTCTGTGTTGTTTAAGTCAGTTTAGTTGTGTATTTATTCCAACCTAAATATTCCTGGTAACAGAACCTAGTTTCATGAGTGCGATGTTTCAAGAAATAGGTCCTAATGGAACTGGTTCAACCAAAGAAGTGAGATAGAGAATAGTAGGATGATTTAGTGAGACTCTGTCTCAAAATAAGGATTGCAATGTAATATAGCTAGTTATACAGTTTCATGGTAGGATCATGTGCAACTTAGTGATGTTTGAGAACTTGTTTCAAAATAAAAAATAAAAAGGGTGCAGAAGTAGCTTAGTTTGGAGGCTCTGGGTTCATTTCCTAGTACAAGAAAGAAAGAAAGGAAGAGGAGGAAGAAGAAGAAGGGGAAGGGAAAGGAGAAGGAGAAGAAGGGGAAGGGGGAAATAAAAAAGAAGGAAAGGAAAAGGATATTGGTAGAGAAGTACATTAAAACAGTTATTATATGTTTGGGCCGGGGATTTAGCTCAGTGGTTTCGCCGCCTGCTATGCAAGCGCAAAGACCCGAGTTCGATCCCCGGTACCAAAAAAACCCCAGTTATTATATGTTCAAGAAAATAAAAGAAGTGGGCTTGGTTGCACATGCTTGTAATCTCAGAATTCTGGTAGGCAGGAAGATCACAAATCTGAGCCCAGCTTTCAATGAAAATATGCTGTGTAATTAAAACACACACACACACATACACACACACTGGGTGAGATTAACAGCAGATTAAACACTGCAGAAGAAAAAAAACAAATTAGAGAATATAGTCACAGAAACTATCCAAAATGAAATTCAGGGAGGGGCTGAGGGGGTAGCTCAGAGATAAAGCATTTGCCTTGCATATACAAGGCTCTGGGTTTGATCTCCAGCAATGAAGGAAAAAAAAATGCAGAGAAGAAACCTTTGAGGTGGGGGAATAGAGCACCAGTGATTTGAAAGAAAACTTTAAGTGGGTTTATATTTGTGTAATTGGAGTTTCAGAAGAAGGGAAAAAGGCAGAAAAATATTTTGAGACATACTGGTCAAATACATATCAAATGTGATGAAAACTAGAAGTCCACAGTGAACCATTAGCACAAGAAACTGAAGAACAACACCAAGACATGTCACAGTTCTACTGATTAAAATTTGTGTTTAAGGGCCGGGGATTTAGCTCAGTGGTTTCACCGCCTGCTGCGCAAGTGCAAGGACCCAAGTTCGATCCCCAGTATAAAAAAAAAACAACAAAAAAACTTATGTCTAATAAAATATCCTAAAGCAGTCAGATGAAAAAAGGACACAGTATGTACAAAAAAACAAAGTTAAAAATGGCAGCAGACTGCTTTTTGAAAACAATGAGAGCCAGAAGGCAATGGAGTAATGCAGACTGGACTGCATAGCAAGACTCTGTCTCAAACAAAACAAAGCAAAACAAAAAACAAAACAAAGACCACCAAAAAAGGTGAAATAAAAACTTTTTTTCCAGATATGTAAAATGTGAAGGAACTCATTGCTGGGGGACTTGCACTATAGCTTTTCCAATTGTTTTTTTTTTTGGTACCGGGGATCGAACTTGGGACTTCCTGCTTGCAAGGCAGACGGCGGAACCACTGAGCTAAATCCCTGGCCCACATGCACTATAGTTTTCACTGTGTTAACAGAAGTCCTCCAAGCAAAAAGAAAATTATGCTAGAAAGAAGTCTGGCTCTACATAAAGAAATTAAGAACAATGGAAATGGAGTATTTCACCTCATAAATGAAGACACAATGACAGAACAGAAAAACATAATTTTCAAATGTCGAATAGGGACGGGAATTTAGCTCAGTGGTTCCGCCACCTGCCTTGCAAGCACAAGGTCCCGAGTTCGATCCTCAGACCAAAAAAAAAAAGTTGAATGATGGATCTAGGCAATGATCAACAAAGACTGATAGTATGATTTTTTTAAAAAAACAAAGACAACTAAATATTATATACCACTGGGGAGGCTGAGGCAGGAGGATCACTGTGAGTTCAAGGCCAGACTGGAATACTGGAATACATAGTGAGACCCTGTCTCAAAAAACCAAACCAAACAAACAAAAAAAAGTTTATATATATACACAGACACACCTTGATGGAAGTATACTTTAACACCTATGTGAAGTAGCATTTTAAAATAAAATAAAAGCTGGGCATAGTGGTGCATGCCTATAATTTCAGCACTTGGGAGGCTGAGGCAAGAGGATCGAAGTGAGTTTGAGGCTAGCCTGAATTGCATAGTGAGACCCTGTTTCAAAAAAACAAAAAACAGCCAGGTGTGGTGGCACACACCCGTAATCCCAGCACTTGGGAGGCTGAGGCAGGAGGATCGCCATGAGTTCAAGGTCAGCCTGGCCTACATGGTGAGTTCAAGGCTAGCCTGGAATAGGGTGACCTTGCCTCAAAAAACTAAAAAAAAAAAACCAAACCAAAAACCAAAAAACAGAGAGAGAGAGAGAGAGAGAGAGAGAGAGAGAGAGATATTAATTATAATCAAATCTGAATCTGGCCTCTGGATGTAATTGCCAGTTTACAGGCTACACAAGGAAGAGAGGGTTCTTCAAGGACTTTACTGTGTTTTAATTTTAAAAATTCAGGTTTGGGAAACTGCAGCATAAACAACCTTACTTTGCTTTCATTAAAAAGGACACTTTTTTTTCATTAAAAAAGTGGAGAGAGGATTTACTTAGAGGGTAAACTAAACTACAAAGGATTTCAGAGATATATCTATCAATGACAATGTACAGATCTTTAGATTCTTCATTCAAACAAACATCACAAAAAAGGGAGCAAATTGAAGACATTCAGGAAATTGTAAACACTGACAGATATTTCCTAATATTAAAGGATTATTAGAGAAAACAGTCCCCCAGGGGATGGGGACGACTCAACTGCAGAGGCAGCCCTCAGTCAGGCAGGCAGCCGGGCGGGGCCGGCCCAGGGCTCCTGCTGCATAAACTCCCTCTGGCTTCCCCTCCAGGCCTGGGCTGTGGAGCTGCTCTGGTTTCTGAGAAAGGAAAACACAGGATATTGAGATGGAAACTATTTCTTTCTTTCTTTTTTTTTTTTTTTTTTGATGGAAACTATTTCTGTCGACCTCTTCTGGCCTCCCTGGGTGTACGGCCTCCTGGGTGTACAGAGTATTACTGAGGGTTTCCAAGGCCACTCTCAGCAACAGGGAAAAAGGACCAGAGGCTTCCACCTCTGCCCTGGACCTAGAAGACAAGGAAGCAGAGAGATTTAGTATGAAGAAATGGACAGTAATCACTACGCCAGGCCCTTTTCTAAATGCTTTACATATTAACTAATTTTACCTACTCGACAACCCTTTGAAGAAGGTACTCTTCTTAAATCCATCTAATAGATGAGTTAACTGAGCCCAGTGAGGTTAAGTAATTTTCTTAAGTTTACACAGATATTAAGTGGTCCAGCTATAATTGAACATACTCTTCACAACTACCCAGAATGGCAGTGGTGACCTGGGCCAAACCTAGAGACCTCAGCCTTCTCTTCCAGACAGAGCAACTGGGGCCCAGGGCTGGAATTGAGGCTTCCTGAAGCTCTGAAAAGACCCTGGGCTACATTAGAAAAGCTGTCCTGTGCATGAAAGGTTTGTTAGGGCCCCAAGGCTGGGGAAGAGCTTTCCAAAAACAACAGAGTGCCTGTCCTAAACTGTTTTCAGGCAGCAAGGCCTCCACGCCAGGCTGGCCTGTCCATGATTCTTATCGGCTCTCTGAGGAGAGGGAACTCTGGAGTGCCAGCATTCCAACCTCAGGCCGTTCCTCAGGAAGTGGGTGGGGAGGGAAGTGTCCCAGCAGCACTCAGGCAGGGACAGGGCTGGTGAAGGCCTGTATGTGAGACCCAGCCTGACTGGTGGTGGGCATCTGGGTCCCTTCCCCAGGTTCTGGCAGAACACCCTTGAAAAATTTAGCCTGAAATAACATAAGAACTTCTTTCCTATTTTTTTTCCAGGTTTTTGGATGAAATTATATTTTACAAATGACTCATTATTATATTTATAGCTTCTCCCCAAATGATTCAAATTGTGGTTTGTCGCCTCCCTGTCTCTCAGCTCCCCCCAGCTCAACAGGAAGAAGTGCTGTTTACTGTACGGCCAGGTGTGGCTGCTGACAGTGGCTGTGCCTCTCCCTATAATTACATTTGCCTCAGCCCTGACAAGCACCCCAGCACATTTAGTCATGTGCAGCCTTTGTTCCAGCCTGTTGTTGGGAGACAGTATCCGACATTAACTCTGCTTGGAATCTGTTCCTGTAGGAAGTGCATGTGTGTGTGTGGCGGGGGGAGTGGGTAGCCTGAGGTGGAGGGCCTGTTCTGGAGGGGCTGTGACAGAGGGGCCCTTTGTCTGGGGAAAGGCTGGAGCCGCAGGTCCCCCAAGCCCCCTTGAGGAGGCTGGAGTGGGCCAAAACCAGGAGAGCTTCTGAGGGGGCCCTCTTCCTGCCACCTCCAGCCTCTATTCAGTGGTTGACAGGGCAGCGGTGGAAGAGGTGGCACCTACATTTCAGGCTGTGCTAGTGTCTTAGGACTGACCCTTCACAGTTCCCTGTAAAGAGCCACTCCAGCCCTGACAGGAATTGAATCTTGAATTCCTTCCTCTTTTGGGAAGCTCCCAACCAGAGGATAGTTCAGGTCTCCCACCCCTACCTTTCCACGTCTGCTGCTCCCTGCCTCCCCAGGTGTGTGAGAGCATCTTGCTTTTAGGCAGACCACTTTTGGTCGAAAGAGTGGAGAGGAGGCCTCCACGAGGCCCCTCATGCAGTAACAGTTTATTCTACCAGATGTTGGTGGGATCAAAGTCCTCTTGGTCTGCCCTGCTTGAGTACTAAGACATGTGAAAATCCCACAAAATGGGAAAAAAGAACATTCTGGAACTCAAGGTAACATTCTCAGAGCCCAACAACAACACTCTGCCTTCTGGGGTCCTTGAACCCAGGGTGTGGTGATCCCGACACTCCCAGCTGTCTACGGATGGAGAGCTGTGGGGCCACAACAAGCACAGGCCTCCCGGAGTGTCCTAGGCCCTGAGGAGAGACGGGAAACAGGCTGCCTCACAGGAGGATGGCTTCATAGAAAATCTCTGCACAGCCATACCTTGGCTTCGAGGGAAAAACTGGCTCCTTTATGTTATAGATTTTGCAGCTGAATTGTCACAGCTACTTGGGAGGCTGTGTTGGGCAAGGCTGGAGCCTGACATTGTGTGTAGTCCAAGCTTTGGGCCCTGGCTATGTCCTCAGATCCCCTGCTGGGTTCCTTCAGGTTTGCTTCCATTTTCACTTCTTGGCACAGGCTCTGTGAGTGAGAAGGGGACTCAGAAGGAGGTGATGTGGGAGTGGGTGTGGACAAGCATAACGTAATTATTGGTGAAGTCAGTATGAAGCCGTAACCAGATGAGTTCCATCTGGACTGAGCTGGGGCCCTAAGAGGTGCAGGAGATGGTCCTGAGTGTGGCCAGGGCCACAGACCTTGAGTCCCAGACCTCTCTGTGGGATATTCCATGGAGGTGGAGAGGGGCCATTGAGCAGTCTCACCTCAAAGAGGAGGGGAAGGCTAACAGAAGGACCAGTGAGGGCCAGAGGGAGGATGGGTATGAACATATCTGGGCCATGAAGATCTGAATTTGCTTCTTAGGCCTGAGGGAAAGAGAGACTCTTACTGGGGAGCAGTGCTTCCTCCGCATCCTGTGGAACCAGAGCCTGGGCAGCAACCCATCTGGTGGTCAGACTGAGGGGCAGCCAACACTGCCAACTGAGGCCACCTTTGGGCTACATTTTTTATGAGATTTATGGACTTGTAGCCACCTGATGTGTACCGGCTCCTTTTCATTCGTCTTTTGACAGTCAACATATTAGAAAGCTTTGAACATTATTACAAGGTGCCATTTTTGAACATGTGCTCATGGGCTACAACTCTTCTTGCTGACTGTACCCACATTCCCTCCCACAACTCCGATCCTACTGAGAACTCTGCTCCAAAGCTCATCAAGGCAACGCAATGAGCAGCCTGGGGACAAAGGTGGACACTGACTCTGAATAAAAGCTAATTGTGGAGAAAATAAGCATTTTGACAAAATGGGGGGTTCCTGGTACAGACCCAGACTGTGAAGTGCTTTGTTTCATTCTGACTTTGATGAGGATCACCATTTAGGGACTTGAGCCAGGATCTGATCTGAGGTATAATTCTGAGGTACTTGTAGAGAGTTTTGCTACTTACCTCCTTATTTTCAGGTAGCAGTTTCCTTCACTTGAGATGTTTCTTGTTTGACAAAGTGAAATAGAGATGACAAAATCAGCTTGTACACTTTTCAGTGTGTTCAGATCCACTGGCTCACTGGATATCACTAATATCTTCTTCACTTTCTTTATGAGGATATTGAATTAGAGAGATTAAATAACTTGCCCAACGCCATACAGCCATTTTAATGACTGAAATGTGTTCAGAACCAAGTTCTGAAAGCTCCTATCCCAGTGGCAACTGTTGTTTCTTGTATTTTCCATCACTTTGAAAAAGGAGCACATGCCTGTAGCAATATGGGCAGGATCAGTGGAAAGATGACCAACCACCAAGTCTGACAGCAGATGAGGGGAATCTCCTGAGCTTGGGAACTCTGATGAGGTAGTCCCTGGGTGAGCTGTGATTCAGGGTTGTTGAAGGAAACAATTTGTTGACTTAATTGCAAGTCCCACTAGGAGTCAGAGTGAATGTTGTTAATTTTTTTATGGTGGTAAAGCATATATACCATAAAGTTTACCATTTTAAGTGCATATAGGTTAGTGATATTAAGTGATGCATTCATCTTTTTCATAATCCTAAAGGAAATCTCCATATCTGTTAATCAATAATTCCTGCTTCTCCTTTCATGCCTGCCCCAGTCAATTATCATTCTACTTTTTTGGGGCGGGGGTACTGGGGATCAAACTCAGGACCTTGTACTTTTGAGGCAGGTGACGGCACCACTGAGCTAAATCCCCAGCCCATCATTCTACTTTTTTCTGTGAATTTGATGACTTCTTTCCTACATATAAGGGGAATCATTTATTACTTGTCCATTTGTAAGATAGCATACTACCTTATGTTGACTTATTTTTAATAGGACCACTATTTTCATCTATAACAGGGATGCTGATTAGCAGTGCTCCATGTCGGTGGAGGAGGGGGAAAAAAGGAGCAATTGGGGGCTTTGTTTCCTGACTGCCAGGGGTGCCAGATGTAAGAGGGTGTGTGTGTGGGGGAGGTTGGTAGGAAGAAAAGTGTACATAGGGCCAAGAGTTAGCATGGTGGCGCCCGCACCTGCCCCTCAAGCACAAGATCCTGAGTTTGATCCCCAGTAAGGGGGGCGGGTGTTACACAGAAAAATGAAAAGCTGTGCTTTATCATTTCAAGGGACAGCCAGCATCTCTCCTGGAGGTAGATGCCTCTCTGTTGAGGGTTACAGCCCTGTGGAAGCTCTCCCCAGAGAACAATGGGACCCTCTGGGCATGCTGAAGGCAAGACAAAGTGTTTCGCAGAAGAAATCCGAGGAACTTGGAGTTTGCAAAGAAGGGACTTGGAGAAGAGGAGAGAAAGAAGATGGTTTAAGCTAGGATTCAGGGAACAGGGAGATATTTTCAGATGCAAGTTTTGGTGTTTTTTTTTTGTAACAGGGATCAAACTCGGGACCTTGCGCTTGTGAGGCAGGCGGTGGAACCACTGAGCTAAATCCCCAGCCCAGGGAGATATTTTCAAGATGGGAAATGGTGGATGAATTTTCAGGAAAATAACATCTATTAGCAGATTCTCATTGCGTACTGTGATTTCCTTCTATGATGCAAAGCTTGAGGAAAAGCCTGCTGCTTTTCAGAACTGGCCTGGCTGGGAGAAAGCAGGGATGAAGCAGAGTCCAGAGCGATAAGGAGGTGCTGGGAGTGGTCAGCAGCTAGAGGGAATGAGGGGCTATGGAGCTGGGGGAGAGAAAAACAGTGCTAGCATAAACTCTCTGAGAATCCTGGATACCCTGGGAGGGGCAGGTGAGGCAAGATTTGAAGGACTGTGAGGTTAGGAAGACACAGCGATGGATGAGGTCCTTATAGTGGCGGGATTTGGCTTTAGTCTTTGCTAGATATCACAGGCAGGCACAGGAGTTAGCCAGAAGGAAAGAGTGATAGACTTTCTCTTCTTGGAGACCTGGCAAAATCTGAGCAAGACATAACTCAGGAGGTCCCTTGGCTGAGCTTACTGCCTCCAGGATTTCCATGTACACAGGCAAGAGTACTGTTTTCTGATACAGAGACGGAGCTAGAATCAAAGCCAAGCCCAGAACATGTCTTGAACACTGAAAACAACTTTAAATTCATCTGATAGCATAGCTACAGGGCTGTGGCTGTCTCTGTTGGAGACATATGCTTCTTAGATGTCTTAGGCATAGCGGGAGCCCAGTAAGAGGGTCTGGGTGGGCTGTTCCCATGCATGGACCCCAGAGGAGCCTGGCATGGAAAGTGAGTCGTGCTCCAGGTTGCTGGGAATGTTTGGTGATTTTCAGGCCAGGTCCTGGGCTAAGTGTGGGCTGGGGATGGAGCCCTGCCTGGAATCACTGATGCATCCTGAGATCTCTGCGTGGTGGTGGAGACTGTGGTGAGGCCAGCTGAGGACATTTCCCTCTGGTCCTCTCCAGCCTTGGCCCAGAGAAGCAAGGCTCTGGGCTTGTCTGGCTGGATCCCATGTTTGTCCCAGCCCAGTGTCCCTTCCTTAGTTATAGGTCCTAGGGAAAAGGGCCTGGCTTGACTCATATGCTAGGAGTTTGCCAAATGTGTTAGTTGCCACTAAAAGCTTATAAACTGGGGTGCAGGATGCTGGGGCCTGGGCTAGCTGGAGGATGTGCTGTTTAGAAGTTCCAGAAGTTCCCCGCCTGCTGTGGCAGGGGGGATCCCTGCAGAGTCAGAGACAGCTGGCTCTGGGGCCTGGGCCAGCTTTCCCTTCCGAGGGCCCCTCTGCTCTGGGGGAGCTGCGTGTTGTTTCTATTCTGACAGCTTGGGAAAGACCAGGGGCCCTTTCAGGGAGAGGAGAAACAGGGAAGCAGGCCTAAAACACTAGTGAAAGCACAATTCTAGCTTCAGCGGTGCCCTGAGATTCAAAAACATTTTCTACTCAGTTATGAGTGCATGGAGCTTTCTAAAAGGTTGTTGAGGGGGAGATGTAGAGCCTCAGAGCACCGGTGTAAGAAGGCCTTAAAGCCCCCTCATTTTGATTGGAGGCTAATTTGAAACAGAGTGGGATTTGGCAGGGGCTGTGATGGCTTTTTTCATCTGAGGCCCAGTTTCCGGAAAGAGACAGTGTTTGTGATGAACTGATTTCACTAATTCACCATTACACTCCTTCTGCATTAAAAAAAAAAACACAACAAAAAACTCCTCAGTGGTCCAAATCTGGCTTCTTTTGAAAGGTAAAGGAGTTTGTGGTTTCCAGGGTGTTTTCAGTTTGGGGCCATAATTTCTATTTGTTCATTTCAAATCTTTGTTCACCACAGGCTTATAGCCAGGTCTCCCTTTGCACACTGTCAAGCTATGCTTGTGAATGGCTGAGGGGAAGCCAGAAATAGGAGAAATCTGGGAAATAGTGAGAATAAGGCTGGGAAGAAGGCAGGGGCTAGCATGACTTGGAAGGTGGAAGGTGATAGTCCTGGCTAAAGGGAGACATTTGAGCAGCATCAGTGAGCTAACACCAATGGGAGAGACCAAGGAACCTTGGATGGGCACCTGTGTAGGGCCCAGGGCTCAGGACCTTTGTGAAAGCTGCTGAGCTGTATTGAGAAGGTGGCACCTGGTCTCACTACAGAAGGCTCTGAGATGAGCAGGCTTCCGGCAGGGGAAGTTCAGGAAAGAGGAGCCCTGAATGAGGCAGCCAAGAATATTAGAAGAAGGAGCCAGGTGCAGTGGTATACGCTTGTAATCCTGGCATTCTGGAAGATTGAAGCAGGAAGATTGAAAGTTCAAGTCCTGCCTGGGCAATTTAGCAAGACTCTGTCAGCCAATCAATGGTGCTTGGCGTGTACCTTAGTGGCAGAGTGCTGATGGGTTTGATTCCCAGTACCAAAAATTTAAAAAGACAGAAAGAAAGAAAAAAAGAAAGAAAGAAAGAAAGAAAGAAAGACAGGAAGGAAGGAAGGAAGGAAGGAAGGAAGGAAGGAAGGAAGGAAGGAAGGAAGAGGGGAGGGCAGGTGGCCCTGAGAGAAGAGAGACTGAGCTAAATTGTCAATTTTGATGGCTATATCCTTTTTGGGAAAAACCAACCAGGCTGCCATTTTCTGGACAGACCTTTAGGTTACTTATATTCCCCATCCAATCACCAGAGAGCACCTTTGGATGGAAGCAGCTCTTGGCAGAACCTGTGAGGCATACACAACTAGGGGTGGGGCAACACTTGCTAGGGGTGTACTGGGGATGGGACAGAAACCTGCTGGTGGAGGAGGGGAAAGTCTTCTGTAGCCTGTTCTGGCAGGCACAGTCATGGGGCAGAGGGTCAGGGTTCAGGTGCCATGTCTTTCTTACACGGCACACACACATATACCCCACAGCCGTGCCTAGTTCAGCGTCAGGCAGGCAGGCAATATATAACTGAATCACTGAATGAATGAAATTGGTACAGTATCTGAACATACACCATGCTATCCTCTTGAGTCTCTGTGTTAACTTACATTTTTCTTCTTCAGGATTTAAAAAATAACAGACTATTTCCGTACCTTGAGCTTTCCCCTCCAGGAAGGGTCTTTGCACTGCTGGTGGGATTCAGACATAGGTACCTGAGGTGAGCTTCACACGAAGATCCTCAGTTGGACCTGGGAAGGGAACCCAGGAGGAGGGCTGGGATGGCCCCCAGGGGCCCAGCTGGCTGTGTGGGATTGCAGGGGATGGCCTGGATGGAGGCTGGTGGCAGAGGTCAGGATGAGATGATGCACTAGCAACTTGGTTAATTGCATCATGTTTTTCCTCCATGTGACAGAGCTGGGCTTATGCCTCATTCCCAGCAGATGACCAATAGTGGGAAATCAAATAGAATTTAGTTGTTATCTCAGACAAGTTTTAACCCCTGGAACTGGTTTCTCAGTTGACTTTAGAGCATCAGGGATACTTTTAGAGCCTGACACTGTGGTTTATGGGAAGTATGTGGGGTGGAGAGAGACTCTTGTCTCTCCTTATGCTTCTTCTCCCTTGAGAAAGCTCCTCCCACTCCTCCTGGCCCTGGTTTTGGAAGAGACTGTGCATCCTCAAATCCTCCAGCGTGGGAGATGACTGAGATGATTTTTCAGGTCTTGTGTCATTACCCCCCCCCCCCCCGATTCTGAGTACCCCAAACTTCAGGAGCTGCCAGACTCACTCCTGTGGGCTAGGGATCCTCCCGGCCACGCCACTCTCTCTCTAATATTTAAAAGACCTGTGCTGGTTCTCGGGGCTTCCAATCACACATTCTTCTCATTGGCGCTGTCTGAAAGGCCGCATCAGGTTTTTTTCTTCTTTTTCTTTTTTCCCTGAAAGCGAGGTCCTCTGGGTTAAACACAACCACGTCTCAGCTGTACAAATGGCTGATTTTCACCATGGCCTTTCGAACCAAATTGTTTCTTAAATCGTTCTCTCCTCCTGCTGAGTGTTCTGGGACACTGAAGCCAGTGTGTGGGCCTTCGGCTCTCTCTCCCAGAGAAGTTGAGGGAAAGCGTCAGCTTATCCTCACTTTCGCCCGAAGGGGGCAAACTGGGCGGCTAGAATGGGGCGGGGGAGACCCGGGATGTGCGGGCAGCTGTGAACCCTCGCTTGGCGGCCCTGGCGGCCCAGACGGCGGGGGGCGCGGGGAGGTCCTCGGCTCCGGAGCGATCCGGCAGCTAAAGTCCTGGGCCAGGACGGTGCAGGACGACGCGCTCAAGGGGTTTTGCGCGCCCCGCCCTCGGGCCAGCTCCGAGGAGACGGGCGGGGGCCAGGAGGAGGGCCCATTCCTGCAAATCACATGATTTTCCCGCTTATATAAATCACAGCTTGTTTTTCTCAACTGGCTGCAGACTTAAAGGTGCAGTGTCTTCTTTCTCTCCCAAGGGCAGGTTTCCTCCGGGTGTTTCTGACAGCCTGAAGCTGGGCTGGAGTGGGTTTCCCAGTGCGCACGTCCAGGGGGTTCAGGGCTCAAGCGCACCCTTCCCCCACACCAGGGGATGCTTGTGTGGCTGAGGACCAGGGAGAGGCCACTGGTAGCCGTAGCCAAATCTGCCACCAGACCCACCCAGCTTGGGCTGCCTGGCAGGCAGAGGTGGGTCAGCACCCTCTCTGGACACCAGTGACTCCTGAGAGCCTGCAGCTCTGGATGCCTCTGTCGGACCTAGAGCTGAAGATGAAATTGGCCTGAGGAAGATTGATGGTGGCCAACATCAGGCTACTGAGGCCTAAGGCCCGCGATTACGATTCGGGCCAACTGTAGCTATTTCTTTGAGGCCAACATATGTGAGAAGAGAAACAAAATCAACACATATATCTATTACCTACTATCTTAGCTGCTAGGCACTGTAGGGAGAAACCCAGACCTATTAGCCTTCACCTGCAAGTGGTTTATATATTTGGGGTGATGAAATATATAGAGATAGACACGGAGACATGAGATGCACAGGTTAAATAGTATGAATCAGTTTCAATGCCTGTTCTAGGCTAGAGAGAAGAGGGTTACAAGGTGGTCCATAATTACCAGGCTGGGACGAGTGCAGTTAATGAGTCCTGCAGGCTTTGGGAGGAGGGCTCTGGAGGCCCTGACTGCAGGTGGGCAGGAGGCAGGAGGCAACACCCTGCTGGGGGAACAGGGTGGAACAGAGGGAGGAGAGAAAGGAGCATGGTGCGGGGTGTGTGGCTGGGGGTGAGTATATTGAGTGATCCTTCTGCCACACTCAGGAATTGGGAAGTGGGACCTGAGGCTGGAAAGCCATGCAAGGCCACATGCAGGCACTTAAAAAAAATTTTTTTTCACCTTGCAGGGGTTCAGAACTCAGGGACACTTTATCACTAAGTTGCATACGTCCCCAGCTCTTTTAAAACTTTGAGACAGGGTCCTGCTAAATTGCCCAAGCTGCCCTTGAACTTGCAGTCTGGCTGCCTCAGCCTCCTGAGTAGCTGGGATTACAGGCATGGGCCACGAGCCCTGCCTTGAGTGCAGGTGGAGGGCGAACTTGATCCTGTGAAGGCAGCATTTGATCCAACAAAATGGGAGGGCAGGTCAGTGTGTGTGAAAAAGGTGTTTTTAAGGACAACTAGTCTGGGAGCAACGTGCATCGAGGGAGACCACTTGGAGGCATTCACAAGAAACCAGGCAGACATCAGGTCGCAGTGCTGGAGTGTTAAGAGGAAAACTAGAAACCAACAGCAAGAGGTAAGAGATGTTTTGAAGAAAGAATGGAGCTGATCAAGGGGTTGTGTGTATGGGAAGGGGAGAAATCACCAACAGCGATACTGACTTTTCGCTCAGGAGCCAGGGAGAAGGGGAGAACCGTTGGTGGGGAGGGGATGTGAGAGTGGGAGGCCAGGTCCCTTATAGAGATGTTGTTTGTAAAGCAGGGGGCTCTCCACTCCATGGGGGACATCTAGGGGGCTGGAAGCCAGGGAAGAGGCTCCATACAGAGGAAAGAAGCCAAGAGGAATGAGATGCTGAGCATCTTAAAGGGAACTCATCAGGAGGGAGTGAGAAGGAGAATGGGGAACACCCGAGACTAGGAGCGGGAGCCCTGGCACAGCTGCGGTGGGCTCGGGCTGGAGCAGACCAAACAGCATTAGGGTCTCTTCTTGACATTGGCCAAATTGTTTATTCTCCCTGGGCCTTAATGGGGGTAACAACCCCTCTGTCACAATACTGTGAGGATAAATGACATGTTTGAAGCATTTCATATGTACAGAGTGCTTGGTACGTGCAGCAGAGCTTGGTACAAACTTGATACAAGTGTCCTTGTCCTGCACACCACCTTCCCTCCTCACCGCTGAGAAGAGGTCTCACTGTGTTGCTCAGGCTGCCCTCAAACTGGCAATCCTCCTGCCTGAGCCTCCTGAGAACTGAGATTTTGGGAAATGCTTATGGCTTTTAGAATGATAATTTTAAATAAAGCTAATTCTGGTTAAATGCTCTGCAGAGTTATCACGTGCACTAATAAGTAAATTTCTAGCTGAGGAATTAGGTGAAAGGAGTGTGTGTCCATGCCCAGCGAGTTCCTCTCTTTTTGAACTGTGATTGTGTTACTGCTTTTCTTCTCACCCCTCCTCCTCTTCCTTATGTCCTTCTCCTCCTAGAAGAAATACGCAGTCTTATTTGCATGACTAATTATTTGAACTGGAAATACCTTCTGTTATAAAGGAAGGAAATAATAAATTTATTTCTTAAGGGCCTCTTAGTTGAAGATGGCTCTTACCTCATTTGATCCTTTCAGCCCTGCAAGGTTTTGGAGGGCAGGTATTATCAAGCCTGTTTTTTCTTCTTCACAGCTGAAGAAACGGTTGAATGGTTCTCCAAAGTTTTATTTATTTGAACCACATGTCTGTCAGTATCTAGTTCAAAGATTTCCAAACTTCTCTTTGTAGGCCTAAACTTTTGGAAATCAGTTTTACTGATTAGTAAAACTGTAGTCAATACAGTAGATGCAAGCAAAACAGTTCTGGGCTGCGATCAGTTTAGGTTGAGAAATGGAGCTTTGCTTTTGGGGTTAACTCAGCCCCAGAGCCTCTTGTCTCTACACTCAGCTTTGTTCTCTTCCTTTTTAGCCACAAATTTCCTGACTGTGAAGTTTGAGCCTGAGCCCCAAAAGGCTTCACAGACCCCTTTATGTGCCCGCTGATCAAGCCAAGTGTTGACTCTGGCCATGATGCCAACAGCTCTGTTCTCCCAGGTTTCCGCAGTTAGGACATGTTCTGAACATGAGCGAGCCAAGCTGGGTCAGCAGTGTCGCTGCAGAGGGTCAGGTGTCTTGTCTCTGGTCAGGCAGGATGAACAGCAGCTCTATGGCACTGGGGCCGAGGAACCACCTTGGCCTGCCCGTGCCAACCCACTCTGTGAATGTGCCATGGGCCGTCATTTCCTTTTTGCATGAGTTTCTTAAAAAATAAACTTTAGGGCTGGGCATTTAGCTCAGTGGCGCCCATGCCTGCCTCGCAAGAGCCAGGTCCTGAGTTCGATCTCCGGTACCAAAAAAAAAGAAAGAAACTTTAGTTAAAAAAGCTTATGGCTTTTAGAATGATAATTTGAAATAAAGCAGGGCTGGGGATTTAGTTCAGAGGTGCCGCTGCCTGCCTCGCAAGCTCAAGGTCCCGAGTTTGATCCCAGGTACCCCCCCCCCAATAAAGCAAATTCTGGTTAAACGCTCTACAGAATTATAGCATGCACTAATAAGTAAGTAAAGTACCTTTCTAGCTGAGGAGTTAGGTGAAAGTATATGTAGATTCTTATTACTTTCTGGTACCCAGGACCATATACATGCTAAACACGCCCTCAACCACTGAGTCACTACATCCCCACACTCTAGTGTTCTTATGTGTGTATGTATGTATGTATTTATTTGTTTATTTTTGGTACCAGGGATTGAACTCAGGACCTGGCGCTTTTGAGGCAGGCGGTGGCACCACTGAGCTAAATCCCCGGCCCTCTTATTTATTTATTTAATTTATTTTTTGGTACCAGGGATCGAACTCGGGACCTTGCGCTTTCGAGGCAGGAGCTGGATATTTCTTTTTTTTTTTTTTTTGGTACCGGGGATCAAACTTGGGACCTTGCACTTGCGAGGCAGGTGACAGCACAACTGAGCTAAATCCCCGGCCCCATCTCTTATTTATTTTTGAGTCTGGGTTTCACAGTGTTGTTCAGGCTGGTCTTGAATTCCTTCGTTCAAGCGATCTTTCTGCTTCAGCCTCGTGAGTACCTGGATCACAAATGCACACAACTGTGCCTGATACTGATATATATATTCATATATATATAAATTTTACATGTATGTATAAAATTTTAAGACATGTTACTCTGAGCTGGGTGTGGTGGTGCATAACTGTCATCCCAGAACTCTGGGAGACTGAGGCAGGAGAATTGTAAGTTGAAACCCAGCCTGGACAACTTAGTGATTTAGCAAGGCCTGTCTCAAAATTAACAATAAAAAAGAGCTGAGGATGTAGCTCAGTGCAAAGGCCCTAAGTTCAATCCTCAATACAGAAAAAAAAGTTATTTTGCACTATTTAAGATATATGAAAATACTACAGAATAAAACATCTTAAAAGACATTGTTGAGATGCCATCCTGTTTCAAAATAAAAAATAAAAAGGGATGGGAATGTAACTCAGTGTGATGTCCTGGTTCAATCCCAGTACAATAGAAACAATAAGAACAAAAACCTAGAAACCCCATATTATCAACCTGAATAACGGATCCCCTGACAACCCTGATGGCCATCCCTTCTTATCCACCTGGGATCCTGAATTTGCTATTATTTTTCTCATACAGTGCTTTAAATGTTGTTACTGTATGAATTTTTTAACTTGCATCTTTCCCTCAGTATGTTCCTGATTCTTCCACGTCGACAGGTTTTGGAGCTAATTTATTTATTTTGGATTTTTGAGAAAGGGTCTCGCTATGTAGCTCAGGCTGGTCTTAAACTCATTATGTAGCCCAGGCTGTTCTAGAGCTGCAGCGATCCTCCTGCCTCAGCCTGTCAAGTGCTGGGATTACAGGTGTGTACCACCACACCTGGCTGGAGCTAATTAATTTTCATTATTGAAGAACTTCAAGTTATACGAATGTACCACAATGTATATATCCATTTTCTGATTAATGGACATTAAAGTTGTACTAGTTTTTTTTTCTGTTGCAAATAATGCATCTGTGAACATTCTTATGTATGTTTTCTTATCGTACATGTGCAGAGATTTCTTTGGTGTATTTGCCTAGGAGTGAAATTGTTCATAGAATACAGGAATCTCCCATGATAACAGAATTACTCTGTGAAGTGGTTATTGTAATTGACGCTCACCTGCAGTCAGTTTCTTCACAGCTTCACCAACACGAGGTATTGTCCAATCTTATTAATTTACTTTTGTAGTATTGGGGATTGAATCTACGGCCTTTGTATTGAGCTACATCCTCAGCCTTTTTTTTATTTTTGTTTTTATTTTGAGATAAGTTCTTGCTAAGTTACCGAATTGCCCAGGATTGGTTTTGAGCTTGGTGACTGCCTCTTTCAGCCTCCTAGAATCAAACCTTTTTAATGTTTGTGAATTTCATATGAAATTCTTGTTGCAGTTTTCATTTACATTTCTCTGATTACTAGTGACACTGGTCACATCTTTTTACATATTTTTTTGGCTATGTGTGTTTCTCTTATGAGAATTGCTTTTGTCCTTTTTCTTTCTTTTTCTTTTCCCTGGTGGAATGCTTGCCTTTTGTTTGTTTACTTCTTTCTGTCTTTCCTTTTTTTTTTTTTGAGTACTGGGGATTGAGCCCAAGGCACTCTTATCACTGAGGAACATCACATCCCCAGGCCTTTTTATTTTTCATTTTAAGACAAGGTCTTGGTAAGTCACCCAGACTGGCCTTGAACTTATGATCCTCTAGCTTCAGCCCCCAGAGTAATTCTTTCCTTGTTGATTATTAAGTGTTTTTGGAAATATCTTTTCCTATCTGTTGATTATTTTTTCACTTGTTTATTTTGGTACTGGTGACTAAATTCAGGACCTTGCACTTTCAAGGCAGGTGTGGTCATGGCAATCTTCCTGCCTCAGCCTCCTGAGTTGTATTTGATGTTAATTGCTCAACTTATGTTTTGGTCAAGGGTGTGTAAGAGTGCCTGATTCTCCGTACTCCTGCCAACACTGCACAGTATTGATTTTAATTTTTGTTAATCTGATAGGTAAAAATGGTGTCTCATTTTTTGATTTGTATTATTCATGAATAAGCCTGAGCATATTTTCAGAGTTATTGGCTCTTTACACTTATATCCCTATTTTTAGTATTTATTTTTCCTATCACTTTTTTTTTTTTCAGTACTGGGGATCGAATCACTTTTTCCTAATTTATCTTAATTTATCTTGATGGTTTTCTGATTATTAAAGAAATGGACCCCTTCTCTGCCATGTGTGGCTGTGCTGTATGTAGACCCCTTACTTGTTGCCCCATAAAGGCCCAATTTGGAGAACCTTAGCCTCAGGATACACTGGCCCTCTTTGATCTTAGAGTACCTGGCCATACTGAAGAATACAATACAAGCTCTAACAGAGACTGGGGTGGCAGGGGAACAGTAGTTCTGTGTAAGTAGGAGCAACTACAGGAGGGAGTGTGTGTGCTCCTTGTGGATATCCATCTAATATTGAAGAGTAACTAAAAATGGAGCCTGAAGAAAAAGTTTAAAT